AATCTTTGATCTCCTATATGTATCAGTCACTATACTAGATGCTGTGAACACAAAAATGACTAGTTTGACAAGTCTGGCTCAGATTATTTATTCTTCTGGAAGTGTCAACGAAGTCTTCTAACATCCTCCTCCTCAAGGAATCCTTAGAGGTCAGTCTTCATAGTTCCCCTACAACTGCTCATGGACATGCAACAAATGTCACAGTCCACTGTAATGCTCTGTGGCACATTTATTATGTGGTGCTTTCTTGCTTGTTTACTAATTTATTTGCCTTGTCTCCCCTCTTTAACTAGAATGTAAACTCTTTGAGGTCATGGTTTGTGACTTCATTGTTCCTTTGATACACACCTATAAACTAGAAAAATCTTCAACCTAGTAAGCACTCAATTATTTATTTAAAAAATGAACATTCTTTGACTGTCTGCATGTCAGACTACCTGTATATTTAGTCCTCATAACAACCCTTCCCAGGCATCTGCTGGAGCCCTAATTCATACTTGGAATTAAGGCTTTGAAAAGTTTTACTATAACCATCCTGACAAACAGGCATCACAAGGAGTCAAGTGAGGCATGATGACAACTTCAAACCAATTGGGCTTAGCCCAGTTCTGCAGCTGTGGTCACTTTTATGCTCCTACAGCCAATCAAAAATGCTCAGTGTCCTGTATTCAAAAAATATTCCTATTTAATACACCAGAAATACAGTCCACTTTAACTTCTAAAGATAAAATCCAAACTAGATATAATTTCTGATGCTTGAAATAGAAACACTTGGAGAGATCCTTGAATTTAAAAATAAAATACACTTGTGCTTTCACGTAATCATACAATCAGAAAATTGAATAAAACCTCCACCGGCCAACAACAACAAACCACTACAATTTGAGCATTCCAAATATGAAGGGTGTTTGAGATCAAAGTCTAATTTGCATTAAAATGCATGTAATTGATCCAAGAAATGACAATTTTAAATTAAAGCAATAAGCTATTTAATTCAAACCATTTGAAAAAATATTTTCAATACTATTGAAACTTACTATTAAAAGCATATTATATAAAAATAAGATATTTTATAAGTCATTTTTATATAAAGCTTATTTGTTTTATTAAACTGAATATTTCCTCCTACAAAGTGCAGTGGCTCACGCCTGTAATTCCAGCACTTTGGGAGGCCGGGGTGGGCAAATCCCGAGGTCAGGAGATAGAGACCATCCAGTCCAATGTGGTGAAACCCCGTCCCTACTGAAAAAAAAATAAGCAACTTGAGCAAAGCCTCAGGATACAAAATCAATGTGCAAAAATCACAAGAATTCTTATACACCAGTAACAGACAAACGGACAGTGAAATCATGAATTAACTCCCATTCACAATTGCTTCAAAGAGAATAAAATACCTAGGAATCCAACTTACAAGGGATGTGAAGGACCTCTTCAAGGAGAACTACAAACCACTGCTCAGTGAAATAAAAGAGGACACAAACAAATGGAAGAACATACCATGCTCATGGATAGGAAGAATCAATATCGTGAAAATGGCCATACTGCCCAAGGTTATTTATAGATTCAATGCCATTCCCATCAAGCTACCAATGACTTTCTTCACAGAATTGGAAAAAACTGCTTTAAAGTTCATATGGAACCAAAAAAGAGCCCGCATTGCCAAGACAATCCTAAGTCAAAAGAACAAAGCTGGAGGCATCACGCCACCTGACTTCAAACTATACTACAAGGCTACAGTAACCAAAACAGCATGGTACTGGTACCAAAACAGAGATATAGACCAATGGAACAGAACAGAGTCCTCAGAAATAATACCACACATCTACAGCCATCTGATCTTTGACAAATCCGAGAAAAACAAGAAATGGGGAAAGGATTCCCTATTTAGTAAATAGCGCTGGGAAAATTGGCTAGCCATAAGTAGAAAGCTGAAACTGGATACTTTCCTTACTCCTTATACGAAAATTAATTCAAGATGGATTAGAGACTTAAATGTTAGACCTAAAATCATAAAAACCCTAGAAAAAAGCCTAGGTAATACCATTCAGGACATAGGCATGGGCAAGGACTTCATGTCTAAAACACCAAAAGCAATGGCAACAAAAGCCGGAATTGACAAATGGGATCTAATTAAACTAAAGAGCTTCTGCACAGCAAAAGAAACTACCATCAGAGTGAACAGGCAACCTACAGAATGGGAGAAAATTTTTGCAATCTACTCATCTGACAAAGGGCTAATATCCAGAACCTATAAAGAACTCAATCAAATTTATGAGAAAAAAAAACAACCCCATCAAAAAGTGGGCAAAGGATATGAATAGACACTTCTCAAAAGAAGATATTCATACAGCCAACAGACACATGAAAAAATGCTCATCATCACTGGCCATCAGAGAAATGTACATCAAAATCACAATGAGATACCATCTCACACCAGTTAGAATGGCAATCATTAAAAAATCAGGAAACAACAGGTGCTGGAGAGGATGTGGAGAAATAGGAACACTTTTACACTGTTGGTGGGACCATAAACTAGTTCAACCATTGTGGAAAACAGTATGGCGATTCCTCAAGGATCTAGAACTAGAAATACTATTTGACCCAGTCATCCCATTACTGGGGATATACCCAAAGGATTATAAGTCATGCTGCTATAAAGACACATGCACACATATGTTTACTGCGGCACTATTCACAATAGCAAAGACTTGGAATCAACCCAAATGTCCATCAGTGACAGACTGGATTAAGAAAATGTGGTACATATACACCATGGAATACCATGCAGCCATAAAAAAGGATGAATTCGTGTCCTTTGTAGGGACATGGATGCAACTGGAAACCAACATTCTCAGCAAACTATCACAAGAACAGAAAACCAAATACCGCATGTTCTCACTCATAGGTGGGAATTGAACAATGAGATCACCTGGACACAGGAAGGGGAGCATCACACACCAGGTCCTATTGTGGGGAGGGGTGGTGGCGAGGGATAGCATTAGGAGATATACCTAATGTCAATGACGAGTTAATGGGTGCAGCACACCAACATGGCACATGTATACATATGTAACAAACCTGCACGTTGTGCACATGTACCCTAGAACTTAAAGTATAATGAAAAAAAAAGAAAGAAAAGAAGTAATAAAGATCAGAGCATAACTAAATAAAATAATGACTAAAAAATGCAAAAGACTAATGAAAAAAATATTTAAAAAAAAAATTAGCTGGGCGTGCTGGCATGAGCCTGTAGTCCCAGCTACTTGGGAGGCTGAAGCAGGGGAATCGCTTGAACCCAGAAGGCAGAGTTTTCAGGGAGCCAAGATTGCCCCACTGCACTCCAGCCTAGCGACAGAGTAAAACTCCATCTCAAAAAAATTTTAAAAAGACTTCAAAAACTAAATTTTTTTCATTTTATTCCTTAAATAACAAACCTCTTCTGACTCACTGTATTACCAGTAGAAAATTTTGTGTGTGTGTGTGTGTGTGTGTGTGTGTGTGTGTGTACATAGACACACAGAACCCACCAATCTTAGGTGTTGCCCCATTTTTGGAAAGGGCTCACAAGCTCCAGGGTCCTACAAACCTCCCCTCTCCTCCTGAAGTGGGGGTAAGTGGGGTGGGACAAATAGAATCATGGCATGAGAATGATTTTTAGAAAAGTACAGGATAAAAGTTGGGTAGAAATATTTAAATTGTACAGCTCTATGTGTATGTATATACATATATATACACACACACACACATATATATACATAATATTTTTAACCTAACCAAATTTGAAACCAATAAAATTATTAGGTCAGCTGCCTATTAATGATAGATATAGAATGGAGGCAACTTGGTAGGAAGGAAGGAATTAATATTTGAGCCCAGCTGCTCTGGGAATTTTATGTATATTTTATTTTGAAATAAAATTATTAACAATTTTTCATTCCTTCTCTCCTAGACAGATATTTTCTGAGGAACACTCTGCAACCAACACCCCTATCAAGAATTTAATGACATTTTTGTAACTTCTGCAAATCCAGAAATGTTGGTATTGCTAACTTTAATTACTCATGCCTTTAACATCTGTAAACACATGAATGGTCAAACAGAAATTTCCTGAATGCATTATAAACAGCATGAATAGTCTAAAAATAGTAAGGTTTGTGTTTACGTTCCAATTATTAGCTATCTTAAACTTCAGAGTTCTCTGAAGTTGATTTAACTTACTTCTATTATTGCGTTGATTTTTAAGGATTTCTAACATTTTAAAAATTATCCATCATTTGTATTTGATTGTAAATTATTTCCACAGGCAGAGCCCCACACTATTATTGTCCTCTGAAATGTCTTACCCCATCTGAGTAGCTACCTTGGGACAGTGTGGGGTATATTTTATACACAAAATCCTGATTTGAAAGCTAGAAAGAATCTACAGAACCATCACGCTCATTTTATGGGTAATATTACTGTGGCAAAGAGGAAGACAGAGACTTGGCCAACCTCACACAGGACTTTGGTGGGAAACCTATTACATAAAGTAACAGAGCTAGCAGGCCTTGACTATTTTGGAAATGCACTTAGGGTCTATGTGCTGGCTGAGGGCAATGCACAAGCATCACGTGGCAGAAACATGACAACTGGTGAACATCTCGCAGTCTGAGCCACCATTGTGGTAGCCAGCAAACAGCTCACATAGGGCTGAGCTTCAGAAGAAGGTGACCCTGAGCAAATGCAATTTGTGGAAGAAATAAGCCAAGAATGTAAATATATGAAGTTTGAAGGTGCAAAAATCAAAACAAACAATTAAAAAATAAAATAAAAGCCTCCAGGCAAAAGGGAAAGAGAAAGGAACTACAGATAAAAGGAAGACATCACCAAACACACTTTGCTTCAACAAAAAAACCATAACCTAATTTCAATGGTAATTGCAGATACAAAAACCTGCCAATGCCACCTCTTTACATTTCAAAGACCAATAAATTTAGTTGTGAAGGTAATTTACTACTTACCAATCCTGCTATTGGTGTAGACAGTCTATTGATCTTCTTAATGACGCCAGGTTTAAGCTTATTAATCAAACTGAAAGTAAACAAATACAGATGCAATTAAAAGATGCCAATATCAGTTTTTTTAGCATTTTCAAAAATCACATATATCACTATTCCCTCCCCTCAATGTGTTATACAGAGCCAATAGCCCATAAGCAAGCAAATAACCAAGACATCAAGTCTAGAGACAAAGAGGGGCACCACACACAACGGTGAGCGGTCCTCCGTAGTCTATATCCTTTATGTGTGGACACAGACCCACTTACATATCCAAAACCATCCTTCAAAGAGCTAGTTTCACATTAAAGAAAAGTAATATTTGGTTCTGTTTCAATTGCCAGTTTAAGAATCTCTTCATTATAATTTATCTCACTTCACCCAAAGAATACTATTTTCTACTAATAGTTTTCATTGATTGTTTTTCCCAAACTGATCATTTTTAAAGGTATCTTCAAAATCATATTATTTTGCCACATTTAAAAAGTGAGGTGGACTCATACAAATAGTCAACTAGTTTTTATTGGTAACTCATTCAAGTCTATAATTGATTGCTTTATTACCACAGCAGAATGACTGGGCAAACATTAAATTCAATGTACCAGAACTCCCCCAAATTAACTAAGTTACCTCAGAATCTAGTATTTTAGATTAAACAGAATCAGTTTAAGTTAATATGAAAGACACGGCAAAGATATCTATGTCTCCATAGTCTATAAAAAAGAAACTCAGCTTTGACAACTGAAACTTGGTACAATTTTGCTTCTAAATCTAGATTATTATGAACTCTTTTTTATTGATTTAGTTCACTGACACTCTGCCAGGTCGTGTAGAAATTTACCACTATAAAAATGCTTTTCTATTAATGTTAGCTTCGTTAATTAATCATTAATCACTGTCAGAGAACAGTATCTTGAAACTGATTTTCCTATTCAAAAACCCATACACAAGAAATAATTCTTTATTCTGTAACAGAGCTCCAAAAAGAAAGCAAATAAAGAAGAAATCATGAAACATTCTTAATTTACTGGTCTCCTTAGCACAATGGGCAGCAAAAAAAAAAAAAATCTGAAACCTGTGGAATGTCACTGCTTCAACATTCCAAAGACTTACATATACACTTGAGTTTGCTGAAAATAAAAAAGACAAAAGTCTTGATTTAATAACCTACAGAATGTTGTTCAACAGGATTCAAAATTACAAAACAGTGGCTATGAAGATCTCATTTTGTGAACAAAAGATGTTTTTCTGTTTTCATGGTTTCTACACACAAAGATTAGACAAGTTAGTTAATATAGCTAATAATACCATTCTCCTAACTCAATTTCCTAGAACAATTATTCCATGATACCCAATTTCTGATTTGTATACAGAAAGCCAAGTAGAAAGCAAAGCTTTCTCCCTTCATGTCCACATGATCTTTTTCTTAATCACTAGCTGAGAAGTCAGAAATGAATTGAGTAAGTTTAAAAGAAATAACAATTGCAAATTAATTCTCCTAGTTGTTCCTTATTAACAAGGTATTTCTATATTTCTGTTACTGGTGGCATTCTTGCAATGCATAGAAGAACTAGTAACTGCAGCATTATGGAATAGGAACATAATTCTTGAAAGTATAAATCAAGAAATTATTTGCAGTTTGTGACCACTAGCTCGGCACTGACTTTCTTACAGTAACTTGTATTTTGAAATTTGATCTTTAAATGACATAAATTGAGGCCATTATGAGCTGAGGAAACATATAAAATGTCAGGAAAGTCTGGCAGGAGGAAGAGTGTCATAAATTTCTGCTCCACCTATTTGAGTCACTGGTGACTTTGGCCAGGTCATTCAGCTTACCTGTTTATATCACATATCATTTTTACATTACAGGTTTCATAAGAGAAAGTACATTTTAAAAAACACAGTTTCTGAAATTAATAATAGCACAACCTACTCTCAATTGGGTCAGTCAAGGAGAGTAAGAGATCCAGGTAAAGGGAATAGAAAAGATAAACAATGTCTCCCAATAATGAGTTAATTAACACTTCCTTCATCAGAAGGTTCAAAGTTATTACTTAGAAGTGACAGACACACAATGGATTAGCATTCCTTTTCCACCCTAAACCTTCAAGTACATGTGCAAACACGGAAATAAGCTGAGGAAAAAACAATACTCTGAATAACATACAAACTAGCCTCTAAAAAGTTGAGTCACTAAAGGAAAATGCTGTTTTCTTTTGTTAGTAGTGACAATTCTAAGGACTACAAGATGGAGAAAAGACACATAGAGTCTTGGCAAATGCTGAACACCCAATTAAATTTTGAATCATCAAAAATTATTTTCATATACAATTAAAGGACAACCTTTTAGAGTATTTCTTCTAAGGAGGAAAACAATGGGTCTCATAAAATTTAAACTTCTGTGAAATTTAAGTCTGCCTAGAGGAATGGGGCATAGCCTTATGTCAAATCAAAAACAGGAGTCATCTATGGAAATACTCTCTTCTACAAATAGAACTTCTTTGCCTAATAAGCGTTCTTCAATCACACATACGGAATTCCTAAGGTAACACTGGCTTCAGGTAACTGATTCTATTCAAGATTCAGATAACATAACCTTCCAGATACCTCTATGTACTAGGACCTAGAATCATTCAAGGAGCCATTTTATCAGCCTGCATCCCCTTATTCCATCCCTCTAGCCCTAGCTTGAATTATCTCTCTCTTCCCCCAAGCCTTTCCTTAGGCCAGAGCCTAAACCTGGTTATATGCTTGGTTAGTGCATGAGAGGGCTTGCTCTTTTGGTAGGATTAAAACCAGAAGGAAGCACCTAGTAATCTGACACCTCCCAAGTCAGAGCATTCACAGGTAAGGCCAGCAATTTCTCTCCTTCTCCCTCAGCTCATCCCTTGCTAGGATCTGAATGCTTGCATTCCTCCCAAAACTCATACCTTGAAATCCTAACCCTGAAAGTAACAGTATTAGGAGGTGGAGCCCCTGGGAGGTGATTAGGTCATAAGAGTAGAACCCTCATGAGTGGGATTAGGTCCCTCATAAAAGAGGCTCCTGAAAGTTGCCTTGCCCCTTCCACCACAAGAGGTTACAGTGAGAAGTCTGTCTATGAAGGAAGCAGGTCCTCACTATATGCCAAATATGCCAGTGTCTTGATCTTAGACTTCCCAGCCTCCAGAACTGTGATAAACAAATTTCTATTGTTTATAAACTACCTAATTTATGGTATCTTGATGTAGCAGCAGCCCAAGCAGACTAAGACGTCTCTCAAGTTGCCTCCTCCCTTTCCTTCTCACTCCCCTCCCTCACCCTCAAACAAACTGTCCACTCCCTTCAAAGGAGTTGCATGATGACAGATAATAGAGAGCTGGCTCTGTTCAAAAGCTTTGTCAGTGAATATAACCCACTTTAATCATAACTCGGAGAGGAAATTCAGAAAACTGTACATAAAGCTCAATATAATGTCTAGCTCAGTTATAAAAGTTTTAGTGAGAACTAGAATTTGATGCTCTGTTTCTAATAGTGTCCAGAAACTAGTTCTAAATGCCCAATCTCATTTTTCGCTTTATCAGAAAGCTTTTCAGTTGAGGTACAAAATTTATGGATGCCTTTTGAGCTCCTATTTCCAAAGATTTTCACAATGAACAAGGAAGATGACATGGAACAACATATCAATACACTGAATGAACTTTTTAACCTGCGAATTATTTTATTAGTCATTCACGCATACATATTTCTAATATCTTTCTGTCACGTGCATTTTCTAAATATATATCCTCACATTATCAAACTTCTATTAGTAACTAAATTCTTGAAGATATACTAAAAGTATTACATGTTGTTCACAAATTGAAGAGCAATGTCTTTTTTTTTATTTTGGCAGATTTTGGGGGAACAGGTGGTGTTTAGTTACATGAATAAATTCTTCAGTAGTGATTTCTAAGATTTTGGTGCACCCATTACTTGAGGAGTGTACACTGTATGCAATATGCAGTCTTTCATCCCTCACCACTCCCCACTCTTTCCCCCAAGTCCCCAAAGTCCAATGTATCATTCTTATGCCTTTGCATCCTCATAGCTTAGCTCCCACTTATGAGTGAGAACATATGATGTTTGGCTTTTCATTCCTGAGTTACTTCACTTAGAATAATGGTCTCCCATTCCGTCCAGGTTGCTGCAAATGCCATTTTGTTCCTTTTTATGGCTGAGTAGTATTCCAAGGTATATGTATATATACACCACATTTTCTTTATCCACTCATTGATTGATGGGCATTTGGGCTGGTTCTATATTATTGTAATTGCAAATTGTGCTACTACAAACATGGGTGTGCAAGTATCTTTTTCATATAATGACTTATTTTCCTCTGGTAGATACCTAGTAATGGTAGATCTACTTTTAGTTCTTTAAGGAATCTCTACACTGTTTTCCATAGTGGCTGTACTAGTTTACATTCCCACCAGCAGTGTAGAACTGTTCCCTTTTCACTGCATCCACAACAATTCTTTTTTTATTTTTTGATTATGGTCACTCTTGCAGGAGTGAGGTGGCATTATATTGTGGTTTTGATTTGCATTTCCCTGATTATTAGTGATGCTGCCTTATTTTTCTGTATGCTTTTTAGTCATTTGTGTATCTTCTTTTGAGAACTGTCTATTTATGTCCTTAGCCCACTTTTGATGGGATTGTTATTTTCTTGCTGACTTGAGCTCCTTATAGATTATAGATATCAGTCCTTTGTCAGATGTATAGATTGTGAAGATTTTCTCCCACTCTGTGGGTTGTCTGTTTATTCTGCTGATTATTTCTTTTGCTGTGCAGAAGTTTTTTTTAATTTAATTAAGTCCCATCTATTTATCTTTGTTGGATTTGCTTTTGGGTTCTTGGTAATGAAGTCTTTGCCTAAGCCAATGTCTAGAAGGGTTTTTTCAATGTTATCTTCCAGAATCTTTACGGTCTCAGGTCTTAGATTTAAGTATTTGATCTATCTTGGGTTGACTTTTGTATAAGGTGAGAGATAAGGATCCAGTTTCATTCTTC